TATTAGAACTTTCATAATATGTACCTTTTTTTACAGCAAACGGAATAAAAAGCAAATTAAAAAAAAGGCATATATAAAATTTCATGGTCACGTATGTTGTTGGTAAAATTGTATAAAATTTATAATAATAAAAAAAAAATGATATAATTAATAATCGTATAACATGATATATAGCAATAAAAAAAATTCGGTAGATCCCGGTTGTTATCTCTATATTCTTCACGTAATTATTTTTTAAAATTAATTTGCATTTTTTCGTACGTCTTAATTTTTTTTTTTTGGTTGGACAGCACTTAATAATCGCTGCTGGATCTTCGTCTCATCGGCTGACTCTTCCAGTGTAATTTTTTGTATGAGGTTCAAAATAGAAGGATACTTATGACTTACCAACTTTGAAAACCTATTATTGAAACCCTCAGTTTGTTTATTAGTACGCTCGGTTTTTAATAGTGTACTTTCATGTACATTCCAAATTTCAGGTACTTTTCGAAATTTTATAATGTACGAGTATTTCCTTGACCAATACGTATGTAGGTCCCATTGACGTAGGTATGTTTGATAGAAATATTCCACCAAGTCTTGTGCTTTTTCGGGCATGATTTTACGTAAATGAGATATTTCTATAAATATAATAATATCAGATATCGGCAAAAAAGCCAAACTATCGATTTGTCCACAAAATAACAGAAATTCTTCATTTTCACGGTACAAATTTTCCAAACTAAGTCGATGGATTTTCCTATGCGTGCTTTGTGTTAAGTGGTAATAAYGACTTTTAATTTCTAAATATTACCTCAAAACATTACCATTCTCAAAATCCACATGGATATGGGTTGGATCAGGAAAAATGTCTCWCTTTTCACATTCACAAATAATGGCATTGAACATTAATTCGTACGATGGTTGTATTTTTCTTTGAAGTAAACAATAAGCTGATGTAACAAATATATTAGATTATATCTATAAAAAAAAGCTAATAAATTAATTATTGCAGTATTAACTCAATAGTCTATATACCTACTATATTATAATGATATTACGATATATTTGCATAATATAATGCTTTATAATGCTTTACTCTTATAACATAAAGCTGTTGAAAAATCACAGGGGCTAGAGCAAAATTCCCATCCATCATCCAAGTTGAAGATTTCGCAAGATTTGATAATCCTTCATCGGTTGCAAATATGATAACTCTTTTGCCGGCATTATATTCACAATTTTCGTCAACGATTCCATTGCCATACAATAAAAAACGATCTCCACCAGAATTCATCGTCCAGGTGGCTATCAAAATAAATTAAAACCCCCATATATAAGTACTTACGTGGTATTATACAGTTTTTTAAACTTTTTGGATCGATTGGATTTCCTTTTGACCGATGATTACGTAAGGTTCTTTTGACTGTAGATATCCTCGGAAGGCATTTGAGCTCTTGCTGTTTTTTTCAATTCTGATACACCCGGGCAAATAATTTCAACAAGATTTGTAGTTGTTGTGGCTATTTTTATTTGTAAAAAAATTATATTTTAAATAAAAACGTTTATAGTATTATTATATGACATTTTTTGTTAGAGAAATATGACTAAATTTATTATAGTCATGACCACACATGTCACATACCGATACCAGATACAGATATTTAATCGCATGATCGCAAATAATAAAGATTATTTTCACTCGCTTAGTGACTTGTGGTTTCCAATGGGTTGTCATCAATAAATTATAAAACCTCTCAATGAGAGAGAGAGAGAGAGAGAGAGAGAGAGAGAAGAGAGACCCAAAGGGCTAACGCAAAAAATAACCACGTATATTTAACGTCTATTTTCGTTAAATATTATTTTTTATTATTATAATTATTTTTGTAAAATATTTTCGTAATCTAATTTTAATTTGCCTTATTTTCCTACTTACTGGAATTATCGTACGTGCCTGTCTTTCGCCGTGTAGGAACTAACATATTATTAAATAATATTGATGTGCAAAAATGTAAATGATATGTACGGCCTTTTAAACGATCGATGCGCAAGCGACATATAACCCAAAAATCGAACGGTGCGCAACTGTCTTCCGGCGAGTGGGCATAGTGGTACAACACTGGTACTCATTAGGTACTTAATAGTTAATTATAGTTATTAATTATTAATAATAAATAATTAATATTTGATATTTCAATGTAGTTACTCTATATTTTTTCTTGCACCATATAGGATATACACATATATAGGTATATTTTACATTTWTAGATGAATTAATAAGAAGAGTATTTATTTCATTACGAGAGTTCCAATAGACATTTAAGTTTCCTCCAATATGAAATTTACTATATTATTCATAAATTTCATATTTTTATTAAGATATAGGAGCTTTTCTGTTATCTACACGACTATATATAAGTATAATTTTAGGAATAACTTTATCTGTATTCTAAAAGGAAAAAATAAATCTTTTCTTAATCAACATAGTTTTGCTTATTTGTATTGATTTSTATGTTTTAGACGTTTTAATTATTGTATTTAATGTTATTTATGATTTTTTTTCATTTTGTTTTTAGAATAATGAAAATTCAGTGCCAATCGTTCAAGAAATATCTATTCCGGTCATATTAAATCAATTTAAAAATTATACTAAGCTTTTAACTATAACCTGTTGTTTATTTGAGTTACATTGCTATACAAACTATAGTAGATTCTTCAACTAGAATTATAACAAATTTTACCTACATTGTACTTATTAATTATAATTTAATATTTTATTTTTTTTTATCTGCTATACCTACACTTTTATAATTTTATATACAATATAGTGAATATTATACCTACCTGTGTGGCTGTGTATATGCAGCCGATATYTGATGGAATAGAAATATTAGTGCAATATGTCACAGCTGATAAACCCTCAAGTCCTAACTCTTAAGGTGGTATTTATTGCAGAATATTGACGTTGGTGGTGAACGAAATAGGAGTTGGAATATAATATGTGAGCAAGTATCCAAGGAATGGTCATAATAGCCAGGAAAATTAATATCTGATAGGTACATAACACGTAAGTACATTAGTAAAATGCGTTTCAGAAATAACATTACTTACAATATCTATTATTTTTGATCAAAGCATAACATGTTCATTGACCATAGTGCATTAGCCAGTGGCGTAAATCATTTTATTTTTACAGGGGACAAACCTAGACATTTACCAGCCAGCACACAACAACCGCTATTAATTATTAATAATATAACTTTATCAGCTACTAGGATCCACCATATATACTCGTAGCCTCGTAGGTATACATAACACACAAACCTACTACAATATTATTAATTTATTGGTTTCTGAGTGAGCGCAAGTGACACCTTGGCATTTGTGCAAATGGATAGGTTAAGCATCTGAAAAGTGAAATTCAAACATTGAAATGTATCCATTTGATTTCATGTAGGAGTCTAACTGTCTTGGTGGAGTTAAGTACCAAATTATGCCTAATAGATACCTACATAGGTTTACATAATACATTGGAAATAGAAAACAACTCAGGACAATAGAATACATTGACAGGTGATGATGAGTTAAGAAAACGGTTAAAATTATATTTTAGGTTGGTATTCTTTCCAGTACACTTGTGTCAAATTTTTAAGCCTTAGTTTTAAATGTTATACATTTTRAATACGTCATAATTTTTAAATTATTGTGATTTCTATGAAATGTTTCCAAAATTTGAACTTCTAATGCTCAAAAAAATGCACGCGGTGCAACACTAAAATTTTATTTAAATTTTAGTAAGAAAAACTTATGAGAAAACTTTAAGAAATTTTCAAATGTTATATGTAAAGTAACAACTTCATAAAATATTGTGAAGACTAAAAAACTAAAATTTAAAAAATGTTAGCTTCGCATGACACTGATGTAAGGATTTGCAACAGTGATTTAAATATATAGACTTCTTAATATTTCTGTGTTGGAAAATTATACTTATCCTTCAATAATGAAAAGTGATAGATCCATTTAAATTATATTAATGCGTTAAATAACTACTCAGGGAACCTAACACTGCAATCATAAAATATGAAACTGAGTATTAAGTGAGTGAAAATAATATTAATAATAAATAAATAGTACAATAAAAGATATCTTAATAAATATTATAGTTATTTAATTATTATAGGAGTCAACTTCATAAAAACAATTAAATAATAAGAAGTTAAACTCTTACAAATAAAGTAACAATCATAACCTCTATATTATACATAACATTCAATGTTAAATTTCCTGAATATCAGTCATTTCATAAAAACTTAAGTCTAAAAACATTACACGTTCTAAATAATAGGATTCAGGCATGGAATTTAAATACTGTTGGTGGTAGGTCTTGAATGTATTTAATACTTTTTGAATCCAATGAAACAAAATTGTAACTCCAGATAGTGTCTGAAAAATAAATGATTAAAAAACAAGTTCAAGATCAGTCATAGTAGATTAAAATAAATAAATATTTTATTTTACAATTACTTCATTTCTTATCATAAAAGATTTGACATCACCTAAATCATTAGATTGATTATGATTATAAAGTCCAAACATTTTTATTTTGACATTGATCGGTTCATTGTTTTCTAATTGTAAGATTCTAGAAATCAACTCCAACACATCAGACTTAATTGATTGGAAAAAGTGATCAATTGACACATGTTTTGGTGAGAGTATTCGACAACTTAAAAAACAGTTGTCACTTTGAACTACATTTATTTGTATTTTTTCACTTTTTAAATAAAAGAGTGAAATTTTATGCGTTGTTGTCTCCAAATGTAGCTTATAATTTTGTTGAACTACATACATACTACATTGTTTACATCGGATCAGCTGTAGTGGTTCAGTCTTTTGCAGAGTATCTAAAATTAATTTTGAAGATTTATTAGTACAGGWAGGTAATGTAATCACAGGCTAAAGTACAGGTTTCATTATAGTAACATAATCAAAGAGCAACACCAATACGTTTAGAATTTAAATTAATATGAATGGTACAAATAAAATTTGGGAAAATTTTTCCGTACTAGTGTCAATAAAAAGTATAAATTAAACAATAACAAAAAATCATAACTGTAAAACCATAAATTTCATGTTTCACACAGGCAAAATATAAAGACACTGTACTAAAATAACTGGTATTCTTGTCGTATGCGGTTTACCTCATGTTTCTACACGTCAAATCGGTCTACCGTACACTTGCCGTAAACCGCACATGTTTTTATACGTCATATCAGTGGTGTAGCAAAAAAATTTGGGCTCCCCCGCAATAATAAAAAATGGACCCCAAAAATATTGTTATACCAAATATAACTCTATAACCAAAGGCCCCAAATTACTATGTATATCCTTTATATGTTTACGACTACAGTCACGKTTTTGGCAGGACCCAAGTTTTATTATAGCAAGTATTTTATTATTGATATAGAAATCACATTGTTAAGATAAAACTTAATTGTCATTGCCGTCGAATCGTTGAAAATGATCTTTAGTAGATAAAAAGTGTGTGGACGTGTGGTAGACCGCATATGACATTAAAGGAACATGTGTGGTAGATGACAAGTGTGCGGTAGACTGTATATGACAAGAATACCAAATAACTGTTACAATCAATCAGAATTTTAAATATTACACTTTAATTATTATGTAAAATTTTTGTTTTAAAATAACTGATTAGTTAGTTATCTAATTATAGGTAGTTTAACATTGTTTTATGAAAATTATTTAATAGAAAAATTATTCAAAATTACCAGTGTTAATATGATCACTTCTAATTTCATTATTATCATTGATCTCGACAAGTGGTTTTAATGTAACTTCATTTTCAGATAATTTTTTTACTATAGATATTTCGATATAAAGTATTTCTTCCAGAGTCCAACTAGATTGGGCAGTTCTTAATGCATCACTTTGAAACATAAATGATTTAACAATATCCTTGTACAGATCATATACATCAGTGTTTTTGGTCAATTTCTAAAATATTAATGTAATATAATACCAGATCTTAAATATACCAAAATATAATGAAAATTTGAGATTACTTTATTATATACATCAAAATGTTTTACTTCAGCGATATTTTTGTTTTCTATATTTAAGCTATCTTCATGATAAAGTGCAAAAAAATATACATCTACTACAAGTGCACCGTGCTCTAAAAGAATGTGGTTTACTAATATAGAAAAATATTGTTCAATAGAGTTAAAAAACTCTGCTGTAGTAACACAAACAGAACATGAAAATATTCTATAGTTTTCAAAATCAATACGGTCTTTAAAATTTTCCTCACATGCACTGAGGTGTCTTGGGTTTTGAATGTGTTTGTTATAACAAAATTCATCAAACGATGTACCGCATATATTACACAGAATTTCCTCATTTTTATTTTCAGTTGACATACTTGAATTACCTAAAAAAATTATTTAAATTATTAAATTAGTAGATTCACATATGTATTTAAATCAGGTAGATAATGAGACATTTATCAATTCTTAAAATATATGTTAGTTAATAAATTGGAAATACAATACAAATAATTAACAAACGTTTTTCTTTTTTCTAGCTTTTACAATCCATTTAGGACATACACTGCCTCAACTACATCTTTCCACCTATCTCTGTCTTCGCTATCTTCAATCCTTATTTCTTCTGAGATTTCCATGAGATACATTTTTACTCTCTCCGCCCATCTTTATCTTAGTTGACCCATGGGTCTTTTACCATTTAGTCTTCCAGTAAACAGATTCTTTGTAATACCTTATACCTCCAAATATGACCCACTCATCTAACCTTTTAATTTTTAGATATAAACTTATAGTGGGTTTATTAAACATTTGGTACATTTCTTGGTTAGTTCTTATTCTATATTCACCGTTCTCAATTACAGGGCCATAGATTTGACATAGAACTTTTCTTTCAAATATGTTTAACTTCTCTTCATCTCCCTTAGTTACTGACCAGGTTTCACAACTATACTTCAAGACCGGTCGTAAGAAGCTGGAGTATAGATATAAAGGAGTATAATTATAGAACTTACCATATTTAATTTGAACATTATTTTTTTCAATATTTTCAATAATATTTGTACCATCAACATTAACACTAATGTCTTTTAAATGACTTTCTTCGGAGTTTGTTTGGTGATCAATAAAATTAACAAGCTTGACTGTTAACAATTTCATTGTATCATTAACATTTGATATTTTGATACCTAGAATAATTAAAAGTTAACATTATATTCTAATTTAGAAACAAATCAATTGTACATGTTAACAATACACAAAGGTTCAATGAAATTATGATTTTAGTTTTCTTGTATATCTATTTAAATTGTAAACATACAACCTTTTTATAGTGAAAAATAAATAMATTTTGGATAAATTATTATAACATAGTGCTTTTATGCTTACCATTATCAAATGTAGTCACAGTTTGACCAACAGTATCCATACTTTTTGACACATTATCAARATTAATGGAATTAATATTTTCAATTTCAGTAAGTGAMAATGATGATTTTTTTTCTAACAAATCAAATGTATTAATTTCATTCAACTTTTTAAAACCTGAAACAGAAATAGGTCTTAGAATTTTTGTAGAGATTTTTAATATAATAAATAAATAAATAAATATGGCATACATGCAATATAAATAATGAAATATCTAGGAACTTTACCAATATATACAAAATAGAAATATTGTTGAATAGAAAAAGTAATTTTTAGATAAATGTGTTTACAATTATAAGGCGTAAAAATGTGTAAAAATAAAATTAACAAGAARCAAAGGTACAACTACGAGTATCTTGAAATTTGAAATTAGTTATAAATATCAAACCCCTGACTAACTCTTTAGATCAGCGTTTCTTAAACTTTTTTATCCATGGAACCCTTTTTAATGTCCACTTTTATCGTGGAACCCCWACTTCTTTTTAGCTTTCTAGTTTTTTTTAGGATTATTTGCAAATAAATTATAATATTGAGTAGAAGTATAGATTATTGAATGTATAGAGTTAGCTGATATATTATTCCATATGGCTTATGCATTATTATTTAATATACAAGTATTATTTTCCATAATGGATATTTTAAAGTAATT